TTCAACTGATTGTGAATCATGGATTCAAAAGTGTCCCAGAAATGTCAACATATGGACATTTCGCTGTAGAATATGGCATTGGGAATTATTGGTGACTGCAGTATATGCAAATATAAGTTCTACTAGTGTTAATTAATTAGTGGAGCATGTAGTGAGCGTAGTGTGTTGTCTTCATTGCTTCTTTATTAATAGAAGGGTATCGTTTGTCTTTACTGTTTCTTCCTTAAGCGCTTATTAAAACTGGTACCAAATATTGGAAAATATATCAGCTTACTATTATTTTAATTATAAGTTTCTCATGTTCATTCCAGACATTCCCAAATTCTGTTTCAAGATTCTTTGTTTCTGCTAACCTTATTTCAAAAACTTCAGCATCTTTCTCAAAATTCACTTTACTCATTTGTCTACAGCAGACATTTAAATAAAAGAAAGAAAGAAAGAAATATTTTAGCAATAAGGTTGCCATTTAATAAGAAAAGAACATCTGTTGTGGGGCCTCCTTAACCTTAGCTTATCCCTTAGTCACCCCATGGTGTTCTCTACACAGAAACAAGTAGGATGAAATTTATTTATTTATGCATTTTTTTTTAACAGTTGCATTGACTTGTGGATCCTTCCAAATTTCTAAATATTGTTTTATCCTCATTCTCCCTAATGAACAACTTCATTTGGAACATATATGTTTCAAAAAGTAAGCATTATCTTAGTTATTAGTATGCTATGATGAAACAAAAATTGTCAGGATTTACAATCAAGAATTTTTATTAGGTTAGCCGATGTTTCGGCTTTCGGCACCAAACACATGGGTCATCCTCAGGGCTATTGTTTAGGAGTCGAGACAAGAACTATGTCGGCCAGCTCGAAACCTTGGCTAACCTAATACAAATTTTTGACTGTAAATCCAGACAATTTTTGTTTCATCCTAATAATTGATCAGTCGACTAATTACCCATCTCATTAATATATTATTGTGATATTATACATAATAAAAATATTGTGCTATAATATAATAAAAATAATCTGTGACTGACTTCTTTCATATTCAGCTTTACCCTAAATTTTGGTTTACTTAGGTGATACAATAAATTAAAAAAAATTCAGTTATTAATGCAATTGTCATTTTAATTATCAAATTTAATCACTTATCTTTCTTACACTTCAGATGATAAAATTTATTTATCATAAATTCTACAGTTATTTGTAGATTACAAAATTAGCAAAGATTTCCAAGGTGCATTCATTTATTATTGCATGTGTGCAAAAATGTCGCTATTAATTTGTAAAAAAAATTATAATTTTTTTTAAATCTTTGTAAAAAGTTAATAATTTTAATTAGGGAAGTCGGTTGACACCTTGCTTTGGATGCTGTAGGTACACATGAAGAGTATTGCAGAAATTTTAAATAATTAATAATTACAATATCAAACAATATAAAATAAATAATTAAATCAATCTAAGAACATTAATATTGTTTTTTTAAACTATAAATCTCTGCTTTTATATGTTTCTATTTTATTTACTTATATTGATTTTCATTTTATTTATAAAAAATTATAACAATAAATAGAAAATTAAATTATAACTGGGTTGTTGTTATTTTTTTTTTTAAATATTTTCAGTATGCCAATTTTACAGACATTAATTGCTTGTGGGAGCACAAGAGAGTGGAGGAGGTCACCAAACCACATTTTGCCAAGAACCATGGTTTGCCTGGTGCAACATCTGGATAGGTCCTTACCCACTCCTTCTTGGGCTAATTCAGCAGAATCCTCCCCACTGACTTAGGATAGGGATCTGGATTTTGGACTCTTCTGTGTCACCACGAACACGGGGACCTGTATTTTGCCCCCGAAGCTAATCCTCCATAGCCCAAACTTACAGGCTATTGAATATCCTAAAAAACCGCAATGTGATTCCCAATTAAGATATCCCGCAATGATCCTCACCAGTCTTACACCCAGTCAGTAAGAGTTACCTCAAGTAAGCTGGCAGACCTCACATATACATAGTTGACAGATTAATTGCCTAAGGAATCCCTATCAAACCTTAAGAAAAAAAAAAGAAACGCTCAATACCTTTAAGTTTATTAGCAAGTGCATTTTTGTGCATTCCTTATCACATTTGGCCACCCTTACCTCATTATTGTATTTTTTTTGTTAAACAAATTCTAAAATTTTGTTTGTTTCTTCAAAATGTAGCATAATAAAATTCTCTTAAGGGGTTACTAGCCAAAAAGGTTTTTGCTGTTTTCTGTTGAAATTTATACTTTATCCATTTATTTATCTTTCTATCAAATCCTGCCGGGCTTTACAAAAATTTAGACCTGTGTTTAATTTTTTACATTTAAATATATTTTATTTTCCTATATTTTTTCTGCATTTTCTTTTTACTCTTTATTACCTCATTACCTTATTATCAAGTTGTTTCTGACAATCCTCACTACTATTTTACCTTTTCCAATTTATTACCTTCCTTCCCACCTTACTTTTTCTCCCCTCTACGCCCCTTTCTGGTATTGCTGCCAAAACCCTGTATGGCAGATATGAACTACTACCTCCTCTTTCCAAGGTATTACTTCGGGATGTGTTTATGCCACTGCTGCGAATAAATAACTCTATTTATAATTTCCAGTTACAGTCACTTCACTTCGTACTTCATAGTATTTTACATGACCTCGTTTGACACCGTTTTGTAACCTTTAGAAAAAATAATTTTTATGTGGTATCTGACCGGCTGAAAGCAGGAAACCTGCTGCATGAAGTTTAGGCTCCACATAGGGAAGTTTAATTGCATTACTTACTAGCACTCTGTATCCAGCCTTCCTCCTTTATCCATCCAGGTGCCGTTCCTGGCTCTTGGCTGGAACCACATTTAACTCCTCATGGGGCACTTCCCCAACAAGAGAGTCTCGCATTTCTGCTTGAATATTTAATCAAGATCTTCTGTTCTTAACCACAGTGACCCAGAACTTGTCGCCGCACGGCAACCTCTTTTTAGCTTCATCTCCTCATAGTAACTACCCTTCAACCAATAAGTTCAGATTGGTCTAAGGTTTGTAAATGCATGTACCAGGATAGGCCTGATTAAATTTAGGAACTTTCTGACAATTGTTAGAAGACACTTAGACTAGTTGATTTAATCTTTGCCAGTGTTACCCTATGTGGTATGTTTCAGGTATTCTGAATTCCTTCATTATCATTTCATCGCAGGATTTTTTCTTTGATGTATACTGTTTTGGTATTCACTATACCTATGATGTCCTCTTGGAGTGCAGCTCTTCTCTTGTTGACTCTTTACTCTACCTGCTGTAGTCTCTCTGAAAAATTATCAAGGCTAGCATCCATCATGATTAAACATACTCTAGCCATTTGGCACTGGAGAGAAATACTGCTGTCACCTGTCAACTGCCAACCTGTGATCACGTTTACCACATTAAAATCATTTTTGCTCTTATTGGTTTGCAGTCTGCAAACTTGATAATCTTTTCCAATGATAATCTTTTGTCTGATCATCATTTCCATGTGTAAAGAGCACTCCCTGCTGCCTGCACAGTTTTGGAAAAACTTATTTTCAGCCATTGTCTGTCTTTCTGTCTGTTTATTGGTGCCATGACTAACTTGCATCTTATTACATTATTCTTGTTTTTTTGTTTTTTGGACCAAGACTTTTCTTTCTCTCCATGCCCTTGGCACATGATGTTCAATTGAACATAAAAAAACCTGTTTTCTACAGATGTTTTTAGAGTTTTCCTGCACATCATTCGATAGAAACTTGCTCAACTTTGTCTTGTTTTATGAGAACTTGAAACTATAGGTCTCTTAGGAAATTCCAGATACTCATTTGAAAGATAATTTGATTGCCTTCAAAGCTAGATATAAATATATGTATATTAATCTGACCAATACTACCAAAAATATATTTATCAATTTTACTTTCACTTACCTATATATGTAATATATGGTAAGCGGAAGTATTGCGATCTTGAAAATTTTCAAATCGTGTTTTTAACGGAAATATATGTTTTGAGGTCCCCTGAGTCCAAATAACCAAGTCCTGCAAAATGGTCTGTGAGTGTGTGTATGTAACAACAGTCTAGCTCAAAATGAAAAGTCGTACGAAACTGATATTACGTATTTGTGATTTACAGGGTTTAAATGCTCAATGTCAACGTTTCTTCCTTTAAAGTACCTTTAATTTGGTTTATCTTGAATAATTAACTATCTCTCATTGTTACAAGTTACGAAAAAATGCTAAATATAACTTTTGAAAGAATTGGATAATTGAGAAAAAAATAAAAATGCTTATCTAGGTCGAAAATAAATCTCCTGAAATAATAGTCAAAAGGTATACATATAATACCTTATTCTGCCATAAATACTGTTATAAAAGTTGAACTTTGTTTACATCCTTAGGTATTATTTATATAATCCTTACCTCTATCAGGTTATTTTCTTTACATGTCAGGATAATAATCCCAATTAGTTTGTATTTTTCTTTCGCTCAGTTAACACGGAGTGGGGTGATAAAGAAAACCGAATAGCTGTGATCGCCTTACACAAAGTTGGAAAATGCAGGTCAGAGATTTTTAATACTTCGAAACATTTGGGTACCAACCGTATGTCCGTGTACCACACTATAAATAGATATAATGTTACCCTATCTGTATATGACAGACCTCGACTGGGCCGTCTCTGCACTGTGAGAATGGCAAACGCAGTGAGAGTAGTGGCTGCTTGAATCAGAAGAAATACCATTCAATAACAATAAATCATGTCTCGGGAAATGGGAATCTGTCGGATCAATGTCTTGTATAATAAAAAGTGACCTAAGGATGGGTGCATTTCGAAGAATGACGGGACAAAGGCTAACCACTTCCCTAAAAGGAATTATAGTGGATAGATGCAAAGTGTTCCTTGGTCGCTACACCAATAGTCTTCATCGAAAGATTTTGTTTAGCGATAAGGAAATGTTTACAATTGAAGATAAATTTAATCGCCAAAATGATAGTGTGTACGCACACAGCTCTAAAGAAGCCCAGGAAATCATTGGAAGAGTGGAAAGAGGTCATCACCATTCCTCAGCGATGGTTTGGTGGAGATTTTGCTTTGATGGCAGCACAAAACTCCATTTTTGTGAAAAAGCAGTTAAAACAGCCGCTAAAAACTATTAGGACAATATTTTGGAACCTGTTGTCAAGCCTCTAAATGATACTCTGTTTGCTGGAATTCATTGGGTTTTCCAGCAGGATTCCGCTCCAGCTCACAAGGCCAGGTCAACTCAGCAGTGCCTGTAAAAGAACATTCCAGAGTTCAACTCTGCCTTGGATTGTCCCTCAGGAAGCCCTGATGTCCATCCACTAATCGGCTTTGGTCCGAACTGGAGAGGATGGCATGCCAGAGTACACCTTGACTTGGAAAGCCTCAAACAATCTCTGGTCCAAACAGTTGAGCGCTTTCCTCAAGAAGTGCTACATGCTGCTATTGATGACTGGCCACCGAAATTAAATTTCTGTGTCAAGACAAAAGGGAGACATTTTGAGTAATTTCTTTTTTGTTTTATTCTCTATAGATATAAATTTTATTTTCTAATAAAGTTTTTGAAAAAATTAATTTTTATGTTAAAATCTATATATTTCCTTGTAACAATATTTATGACAGGACTAGGTATATCATTGGAAAGCAGAGAATTTTAGAAAAAATAATATCAAATAAATAAAGTTGTAGAAAGTAACGGAGAGTGACGAAAAATTATATATAAAAAAAAAAACTTAAACTTGCCTGAGATTCACATTTTATGATTTTCAGCGAGTCATGAAAGTGGAATATGACTCATAATTGAATTAATGTATTTAAAAAAAATTCTATTTCAATTTGATAATTTGCAATTGCTCTGACAAAACAAGTTTTTGGGAAAAGTGCACATTGCACGTGCACAGTGCTACGAAATAGTTCAAGTGTGATTCACATGTATTCCTAATTCTATATTTTGCCGGGGTAACTGAGGAAAAGCACTTTAAAAATATAATTAATATCAAGGAAGAATATAAATCACAAAGTATTTTGAAGAACAGTTTTTGAAGGTTCCACTTAATTGCAGAAATAAATATAAACAGGCTATTGTATTAACCATTGATACAGCTGTTAAGCTGAAATTAAAAATGATCAAGCTTAATAAATACGCTGGAATTGATTTCCTTACTACTCATAATTTACCTTTAGGGTACTCGTGGCCTACGTGTAAAACATCTTTGGTTTGAGTTAATGCTCTGTGAAGAGCAGTTCATTCCAGTCCAGGGATTGTTTTTTAAGAGACAATTATACCCTTACCTAAGGTGACCAGACGTCCCTCTTTTGGCAGGATAGTCCCGATTTCTAACAATTTGTCCCGCATCCGGCAGCGTTTTCTAAAAGTCCCAATTTTTGGAAAGAATGCATGACAAGCTAGGGAATGGAAGAGAATATACTATTTTAGACAGCCATGTAGCTATTTCCCCAGGATATGAGTTTTATATTATATTATTTTTGTTGATTTTATAATGTTGAACTTTAATAACAAATAATTGTTAAGTAAATGATTATCTAGAATAGCTTAGCTAAATTCGCATTGTTGATCAATTGATAAGCCTAGTCCACACTAGTAGACATATTTAATGTTGCTAAAGTCTCCCGTTCGGAATTGAAGACATTAGCAACGTTAGACATATCTCGCAATATTTTGACTGTGTGGTTGTCACTCACCATCTAGAGGTGAGACATGTCTCAGTCTGCCTCCAGCGAACGAGTAGTTGATTCGACTGTTTACTAATTTTTTTTATTTTTATTTACTGAATATTACAACATTCTGTTACTTGGACATTGGTTGTAGTGAGGTAAGATCACATTCACACTATATGTACTAAAATAAACAGAAGCAAAATAACAAACAAATAATAATCAAAAAGTATATATACAATAAATAAAATGAAATAACTTCAAAATAAGGAAATTACAAAAAACAAAACAAAAAAAAAACAACACATACATACCTCTATACACAGTTATTTTCCAAGGTTTTATAATTATTTTGGTCTAACGACAAACTTTCAAAACTGATTAAAGATTACCATGTCCTCTCCCAGTCTTAATTTATTTAATAATACATTACCGAACCTAGGTCCTTCTATGAGCACTTTGTGCATCCACCAACATTCATATTTTTGCGTTCTTTCACTTGTAACTAGCACCAATCAGGCACTCATTCCACACAAAACTATGTTCTTCATGGTAAGCATTGAAGATGAGACTGAGAAATTTACATTATAGTGCGGACGCTAGAGGAGACAAAGAACGGTGTCTCTTGACAGTCTGTAGACTGTATCTCGAGACTATCTCTAGACGGTCTATAGACAAATCGCGCAACAATGTCTACTAGTGTGTACTAGGCTTTAGAATTCTACCACAATTGTGTGGACTTAATGGTAATAAACAGCATGAAAATGACCTTTTTAATGATTTATCTTTATTAAAAAAAATATATTGATAAGGATAAGGTTCTTGTAATCTTGGGCATTGCAGCAAATTAATGTCATTTACTACTTCAATTACCAAAATGGAGATCTTTTAATCCCTGGCCCGGAAAAAAAAGACCCGTATAGCCTAATATAGATAGGAGAGAACAAAAAAAAAAAATAAATAAAAATAAAAAAAGTTTATATTAATTGAGTTGTGGTTTGTTACAGAGTAAGTTGAGATTCATCCCTAATTGAGTAAAAAGATGTAAAAATATTTGGGTTGATTCCTAATTTTTCCATATTAATAATATTTTTACTCAATTTGAGAAAATTTAAAACTAAACTTAATTAATATAGACTTAAAGCTCATTGAATAAGGAAGTTTTTACAAGAGTGTGGTATGTTCAGTCCTGTTGGCTGGTTATAAAAAAAATCGCATAGAATACTTGATTTTATTATAACCCTAACTCAGTACTTTAAAACCTGTAGTTCAACTACTTTAAAGTCCCCTTTAAATTGTTTTTAAAAAGATAAGATTTACTTGCATTTAATGGAAATTTAATCTAGTTTACTATGAAGTAATTGGTTCTGACCTAAATAAAACATTTTTTTAGTTATTGCTCTTTATTCAACATAAAACGTGGTTGGCTTAAAAATTACAAAATTTAGGTTTCCTGGTTTTCTGTATGTAATTAGACCATGGTTTATGCTAAATTTTTATAAGTTTTAAATAAGTTTTTTTAAAGCCGTAAAATGCCAAAATTTTACTGTACATAAACTTGGAAATTCTTGATTGATTATTAGTATTATTATTTTTTAAATATAGCTATTACATAACTACCATAAAAAAGAAACTTATTTTTCTTAATAGGGAGCTTTTATTATTGTAAGATTCATAAACATAACTTTAAGTCTCTCCAATACTAAATAATATTAAATAACTAACTTGTCAACATTTCACGAATTCAGGCGTCATCAGGACTGAAAGAGTTAAAGGAGATCACATTAATGCAGTCCTCCAACACATCTCACACCAATAGCTCAACCAAGACTGACCAAATAATGATTAAAATCGCTATAAGACTGTTCAGCTTATACTGTTTAATCCTGATGATGTATGAATTGGTGAAACATTAGCGAATAAGATATTTACTGGTATTTAAGAGGCATTTGAACTTTTAGAATCTTTCAGTAAAACCTAATAATTTATCTCTTTTTTATTTTATTTTTAACTCATTAATTAATTATGTTTATATTTTTTTAAGATTTGTATTATGGTGGTGAGGCATTAAGTAGTGAGCAGCCACAGTCTTTTACTTGTCCATATTGTGGAAAGTTGGGATTCACTGAAAATTCTTTACAAGAGCATGTTACTTCAGAACATGCGGAAGTTAATTTTGAAGTTGTAAGATTTATTTACCACCTGTTATAGTTACTAGTTAAATTGTTTTGGTTTATTTTTAGCCCTACATACTTATCTATAAGCTAATCATATTTATTTTATAGGTATGCCCTGTCTGTGCATCAATGCCCGTTGGTGATCCTAATTTAGTCACTGATGATTTTGCTGGACATTTAACTCTTGAACATCGTAATCCTACAAGGGATTTAATATCTTTTTTGATATCCTTTTTAAAAATTACATTTAAAATATAATAATCGAAAACGCTCTTTTTAAACACAATACTATTAATAAATATGCATGTTAATCACCATATTCCTATTGTTTTCATTGAACTGATCAGGATCAAACTGGTTTTTGGATTGTTGGAGGCTTAGCCAGATAATAAATATGAGGTTTTATAGTGGTTCAGAGTGTTTATTGTTCTTAAAATATTAAACATGAAATTGTAATAATGACATATTATATAGAATTGAAAATAAAACAATTTATCTTCTAAAAACTCTTATCTAGTGAAATGGAGTGATTGATTGTCCATTTAGAATTAAACAATTCATTTGCTATTGAAACATACTTTTTATTTTGAATACTTTAGTGGTATGATTTAATCATAAATTCTCATATAATATATTAAAAATTATGCGACTAAATATATTCTCTCATTTAAAAAAAAAAAATAAGACTTATTAACATTAAGACCACACTGGCAAGTAATGGGTCTTAGTTTTATCTATGGTTTACTATGTAGATCTGTGATACCTTAATGAATAAATTAGAAAATAAGGAATAAAATTATATGATTTTATTTGCAAAATAACTCTTTTTAGCTTTTAGTTATATAACTACCAAGAATAATAAAATGGTATTGCTTTTATTGATATTTGATAAAAATAATTTCAATTGGTACCTTATTATTAATACGATGAGCCATCCTCAAGGCATGGAGTAAGAAGAGTGCCACCACCTGCTTCTCGTGGTATTGCTACTCGAGCAAGGCGTTCTAATATTAATTTTAGGTAAGTATTTCTTCATATGTTCATTTTTATAGTTATATTTGAATTTTATTAGTTAAAAGTTGTTACTTGCTGTATTGGAAAAAAAAAAAAATTATAAAAACTTGACATATTACATGTAACATTATATATAATGTAGGATGCTATTGTTCATCCTAAAAGAAGTGGCTTTATTTAAAAAAAACATGTATTAATTAATTTTTGCTTAGTGGTTTCCTTTTATTACTTGGAATTTAGTAGTGTAACTTCAAAGTGTCTCTTGAATTTTTTAAATCTAGCTCTTTTATTAGGCCTTTTGTTATTGAAACACTCGATTTTTTTTGTTCAGAAGATCTCAAAACCTATTTCAATAATTCATAAATTTCATGATTTTTCAACATGTTCTTTGTCAGACTTGATTCAAAGCATTATGGTAGACAACTAATGGAAATAATGAAACATTTTTAAAATTTTCAA